TTATCAAGCACTTGCTGCATTTACTGAGTCTGCATCTTTGGCCAAACACTCCTACACACAGTATGTCTCACTTGCCATTTATTATGAGATCATTCCTACCTAAGGAACAGATTTTTAATTGCAATACATAAAAAAAAAAAGACCCAATATTGGTTAACAGAACATCACACTCACAAGCCAGGCTTTTAATCTAAAATTTATACATTCCAAAAGGAGCACCAACCTTCAGGATGTAAGCGGCTCAGGAAACTGGGAAGAGCCAAATTCCTGTCCGTCGTGTAATTATAAAGGCTCCCAGCTTTTAGCATAAGTCACACCCTGCACACCACGCACCACAGATCAGGTCATCCAGGCCCCTTCCCAACCCTGACAGCTTCTTACCAACACACCTAGAGAATCAAGTGGACTTTTGCATTTTTTGATAGTCTTAGTATCTTCGTAAAATGGATACTGCTTTTTCTATAAATTCCTTCATAAATATGTAAAACATTTCTCAAAAGAGCTGAAAAACAATACAACTTGCACACAGTATAAATTACAGTTCGGAATGCTAAACCTTTGAAAAACGGATCTCATTTTCTTTAGCTACACCTCCACTTTCTGGGTGTATCTTTCTATTTCCAATTAATTTGGAAATTTCAAAGTTGCTTCTATAAAAGTTGATATCATGAATAATATCACCACAGTATATCCTCTTTCATCTTGCTCATTCTATAACAACAGGGCTCAAATTTCAAACTTTGTAAATGAAGAAAATAACCCAAGAGAGGAAAAAAAAGAAAAGCAACACTTAGTTTTGATATGTCTCCAAAGACGATTTGAAAAGGCTGAGATTTGTAAAGAATGACTCCTTTTTCCCCTCAGAGTCAAAGAAAATGTTTTAGGAACAAAACTGAGGCATCACAGGGGAAAACCCTTTTAAAAACAAACAAACAAACAAAAACTTGATTTAAAAGTTGGAGGTTTTCATTTCGTTTAAATATTTAAAGACTGTTTAAAACTTGAGACGAGGGCTCAAAATCTACTCCAATATACGCATGTCTTCAAATAATGCATGTTTTACCTGAGAAGGTGTGTGGCCTCACTGCACAGCCGTCCCTCCGCTTAGAGGGGAAAACATCGCACGATGTCTTTGTTAGTTTCCTTAGGCATCATAACGAAATTGTGTTTCTAGAAAATCGGTCTTCTCAGGAGTTGGGTACTGAAATTTTTAGGGGTAATAAGTGATGATTTCTGCAATTTACTTTTAAATGGCGTAATCCATCCATCAACCAACCAATCAGCCAGTCAATGGAGAAACACACCCACAGAGCAGACAGGTGGGAGAAACACCGTGGCCGGCACAGGAGTCAAATCCAAGTGGGGCCGATGTGGCTGTTCATGGTACTATTCCTTCAACTTTGTAGGTGCCGGAGAATTTTTATAATAAAAAGAAGGAAAACAATAATAATAATAAAAAAAACTGAAACCTAACTGTTGTGTACATATTTAAATAAAAAAAGTTTTAAAAAAAAAAAAGCAAAACAAAACAAAACAAAAACCCTTTTCTTACCCACCCCTCTAGAAGACAAAACAACACAAAAAAGAGATACATCAAATGATTTATGTTACTTTTGAATGGTGGATATTTGGGGAATTATTCCTTTTTGTTCCACTTTGTCCTAAGCTTCAAATTTTCCAAATTAACAAATAAGATGCCTGTGCTGGTTTGGTCCCTTAAATAAGTTATTTGCCAGAAGCAGCACAGTGTTGTCTTTAAGATTAGATATGAAACCTGGCATTCTTTCAAATTTATATCCTCCGTTCACACTCGAGATGACAAGTTTTAGCTCCTTTTGGGAAAAAGAAAGTTATGAGTGAACATTTATAAATCCTGATGAACTGTTGTGCTCACAGTACAGGAGATCTGTAAGCAGTCACTTTATCTGCTATGGAAATAAAGTGATGTGCTAAATGGGGCGTGAAAAGAGGACCCAATAATCAGAAAAGAGAATCAGAATTTTCTTTTTGGACAACAAGATTTCTCTTTGCTACTGGAGGAACATTACTTCAACAGTTAACAAATTATTTAATAGATGACTCAAGTGTCGTTCTAACCTCAACTTAGAAAATACAGCTGGTTTTTACCTCTGAGGCAGCCAATGAAAGAAAGCAGGATCCACTGTTTCCATGACAACTTCATCTTTAATTGCCAACAGCAAGAGTAACTCTTGTCCAGTCTCCGAGGAACAGAACCCTTTGTCTTCAGGTAAATCCTTTAACCTGTAAAATATGTGTACGAAGCAGTCAGACTTGAAAAGACGACGTGCTTTAAAACATAGACTTTCTTCTTTTCATAAAACCGTATGCCACTCAAAATCCTCAAATGAAATGAATCTTTTCTGATGCAAAAAGAAATATATGAAATGCAGATACTTAAACACTTCATGTAACCGACAGGCAAACGGAAGCAGCTTCAAAATGTCTGAAATGTTCTGCATACTAAAATATTAAAACTTAACACATTAAATATTAAAACTTGTGCTACATAATAACTATAACAAATAAAACAAAGATTTGAAATTGTGACTTTTCTCATTTTCTCTAATGATCACATTTCTGTAAAACTAAGAGCAGCTACGTCGAAGACCCCCTCTCGCAGTCCCTGACTCCGTCTAAGGCGTATTAATTATAAACAGCGTTGTCAGCGTTCATCTTCAGCCTGTTTTTTCAGAGACAATTGCAGAAAACCCCCAACTATACACGCTGCATAAAACAGATGAAAACTGCTAATGGTGAAAATTGTTCCATCTGAGAATCTTGCAAATGAAACTATTTTCTTTTCTACGTTTTTGACTTGGCATCAACGTGAACGTAGCTTTGTGAAGACCCTGTGTCACCTTCAGCACCGTTTGAAAGCAGTTAGATGGCGTGGTTTAGGATCATGTCAGCTGGACACACACCTAAGGCCAGTGGCCACTCTGGGCAGCTGAGACCCAGCCCGTCCCCCGGGGGGAATGGACAGTGGGCAGCGGTCAGCAGGGAAGGTGCCCGGCTCCGGCCAGACAGCAGCGCCTGGACAGAGTCACTGACCGCTCAGCTAAGGAGAGAACCCCAGTCTTGAGACAGTGGTTCCTCAATATGGGGTGTGACATGTGATGTGTCCCAACTAACAGTCACTTGGGGAGGGAAACTATGACAATGCCTGAGTTCTGTCCTCCAGTGACACCCTGAGCAGCCCCCCCATAGCCCTGGGTCTGACACGTCCCTGGGGTGCGCGGGCTCAGCGGCGCGGCCGCAGCTGCGATGCCAGGGGTCAGCCACCTCTCACCCGCCCCTGGGCCTGGACGGGCGGACCCCCAACAGCGCGGCAGGGAGCAGCCTGCGCCACCTCGGGCACTGGGACCCGTTGTCACCAGCCCCTTGTGTACAGTGCACACGTCTCAGGCAGGGGTCCCCTTAACACAAACGGTGGGGAACAGCTCAGGTGCAAGCAAGCGCTTTCCCTGGCAGGTGAGGACAGAAACAGCTGGGTATGGGCAAGAGAGAAAGTAAGGAAGGCTGCCGACATGGGCGAGGCGTAAAGCCGCAGAACCACGTGTGACCACAGCGTCACGCACTGGGGAAACTGGACGTGGGGGCCGTGCCCAACGTATGCCTCAAGGTCATCCAAGGGCGATCCCGTCAAGGGGCAAAGGAGCGGGGCTGGTTACACACCACCGCTGTTGTCACCGCTCGGAGGCCACCCTGCAGGACTGGTCACTGCCCAGCGTCCTCAGCTTGTCACTGGGGCAGCAACGTGCCCCAAAACGGGCAGGAGCCCAAAATGCCTTCAGGTGAAGACATGTACATGGCGGCACCTGGAAGGGAGTGTGCACCGGTGATAGAGGCAGGAGGACACGGATGGGACACGTGCAGGGCCTGCCACACGGCGCGTGTGACACCGAGGCGCTGAGGCTGTGCCCCCAGCACCAGGTCCCACGTGGCAGAGCGAAGTCAGTAACCAGCAGGGCACCTGACCTCAGCCAGGTGTGGCGCTTCCCAGCCTTCCCAGGGCTGATGTCTCACCTGGACCGGAAGCTTCCAGATCCTGCCCCAATAACTGCAATCCTTCTAGATTAAACTTATAACTGACAAGCCACAGCTGCCATCCCCGCCTTTAATCAGGCTGTGAGGTGGCTCCAGAAACCATGAGAAAGCCCCGCTCCCCCCTCCTTCTCTCTCTCTCTCTCTCTCTCTCTCTCTCTCTCTCTCTCTCCTTTTCGCCCCCCCCCCCACACACACACACACTAGAAAAGCAAGGATTTTCCTGAACTCCCAAATACAGCTCAGTGGCAGTCAGTCACAAAAGGCACGGCGAGCCTGAGCAGCAGTAGCGTGATGCGCAACGCGTCCGAGTCACGAAGTCGGGAGCGATGCCAAGGTGCGCTAACCCCTGGGGACAACGGGCGAGTCTCGAGGGCAGGAGAGGTTTGAGGGGTGCGACCCTGGCTGAACTGCTGTCTCTCCTCTGCGAGTTCAAGCCATCCAGTTCATACGCCAAATCCAACTGGGGAAGAATTTGGTACTGACAAAATAAAAGATTTAACAAGAACAGGTCCTTGGAATTTTCAGGAGAAAAAGGACAAACTCCAGCAAAAGGCCCTGTAGTAACATCATCATAATCATTAGAAAAAGCACCCCCAAAATAGGGGAGGCTTTGCCCTATCGCACCCAGAGAACAACATGTATAACCTAGGTCCTGACGCTGCAACGGGAAAGGAACACCTGTAAACAGGTGAGCAGAGTGTAGGCAGACGCACGTGTGCTGGGCGGACGTCGTGTTCCCACCACTGGCCGCTCCGATGTCCCCAGCTCCCTGTGCGCTCAGCTGTGGGCTCTCAAACAACGCTTCTTGCTGAGCCCCCAGAACAGTGAAAACGTCGACTGGGGAGATTAGATCTTTGGAAACCGGGTGAGTGAGAAGCATTTCTACCTGAATGGTGAGGTAGGACACAGCACAGGGTCTGCCGCCGTTTGAAAATTATTTCAGGAAAGCGTGTAAGACGGCATTAAAAAGGTGCTACCTTAACACGTTATCTTCCTAACAATGCGCCCCAAAGTAACGTGCGTATCAGTCATTTTTAAAAAGTATAAACATGCCCCCAGACGCTCTACTATGAAGTCTTTGTGAAAATCCTGTGCTTAGCAAGTATTTCTTGAGCACCTGTCAGATGCTGGGATGGTAATTCTGGGGGAGGGGTGGGGCCGCCAGGGAACCGCACACCCCGCCCTCATGGCTGTACAAGTGGGGGTGACACGCGATTCAGGGGGTACGGGGTGCTTGTGAGCTGGCCGGCGTGGAGGTACAGCGAGGCACAGAGGCCCCTAGAGAACGGCCCTCAGCAGGGAGGTCAGGGAGCCCATGAGGGCGTGGGGACGCCGAGCTCAGGTGTGTGTGTGCGGCGGGTCGATGCGGGGGCGCCCAGGGGTAAAGGAGGCCTGCTACGGTCTGAGCCTCTCGCCTGGACCCTCGCCTGGACCCTCGTCATCACGACCACCTGGCCCCCAGGCGGCCCAGGTCCACCACCTACCGCGTCAATGTCTGGCTGGGTGGGGGCTTCCGGGACCCTGCTCAGAGCCCAGGGCCCCCTGCCAGGTAAGTATCTGGGCGTCACCCAGGTGACCTCAGTGTCCGTGGCTGTTACAAACGCACAAGGATGACCAATGAGACAGGCTACAGGCGGCCCAGGGGAGTGGGAGGGAACGGGGTGCAGCTGTGGAGCGGGGTCGGTCCCACTGGTCTGGCTAAGGAGGTTTGTCAGGAAAGAGCCCACGTGGTTTGAACCAGGAGGTGACATGGTCAGATTCACAACGAGCGTTCCAGACAGATGCATTACAAGCTGCGTCAGGCTTCAGAGGATAAAAAGAAAACGCATTTCTTCGCAATACACCAATTTCACTCTTGCCTTTGGTATCACAGAAACCACAGGCTAGAAAATATCCGGTAAACTATCTGATACTAGAGAAGAAATACGGATGTTCCAATAGTCTTATATGTGCCCACACACAGGCACACGCTGTATACAAAGATTAAAAAAAAAAAAACAACTTAGCCGCATTCAGAAATATCATATTTAAAAATTATGTTGCTCATATTTTACCACTGCTAAGTGGGGCGCTGACTTTATAAGTAACGAAGGCAATTAATACAATCAGGGCCTGACTTCTCAGCTTCTCGGCGTGGCCAAGTGTTGTCACAGACAGAAGGGACATGTCCCACTCCTGAAATTACCGAGCTACAATAATTACAAGGAAGTCACTGAAGCAAGACAAACACCAATCAAAATGTCATCCGCTCAAACAGAATGTTCTGCTGTGCCCAGGAATGCTTAAATCGAAGAGAAACAGGCACCCTCTAGAGCAGCGGTTCTCAACCTTCCTAATGCTGCGACCCTTTAATACAGTTCCTCACATTGTGGTGACCCCAACCATAAAATTATGTTCGTTGCTACTCTATAACTGTAATTTTGCTACTGTTATGAATCGTAATGTAAATATCTTTTTTGTTTTCCGATGGTCTTAGGCGACCCCTGTGAAAGGGTCGTTCGACCCCCAAAGGGGTCGCGACCCACAGGTTGAGAACCGCTGCTCTGGAATGTTCTCTGCCACTAGACAGGTGTACCTGCGAGCAAAGGCTTAATATATTCTCGTCTGCCACAACGGTCTTTTGCTCCCAAACTCAGTGCATGCTGACAACCGGACTATCTCTGTTCTTAATGCCAGCGGAGCTTAAAACAAAACGAGGAGCTAAAAAACAAAACACAGGACTTTGGACTTGAAACCCAAAACGCTCTAAGAGACCACGTGTGGCCTTCGTCATAGACATTACAAAGTTGCTACTAAGAGGATTGATACAAAGGTATAATATGTACACATTTACATATTACAGTCTCTGCGTGTGTCCTGGCAAACGCTCCAAAGGAAGTGTCTCCACGCGGCGGGCAGCTCAGTTAGAAGCTGTGTGTATTAATAGTTTGGTTTTGCTTCATTTCTGCCCGACGACCAGGAACCTAACGTGCAGCCTCCTTTTCAGAGACAAACGCTACAGCATTGTGTAGAGAAGGGCTGCTTGGCAGGTCTGGACATCCACAAAAAGTCATCTCCAACTTTGATATTTGAGAAAAGAATTCCATTCAAGCACTTATGCTGTTCCTAACCTCCCTTCCCCCAAAGCCCTTGAGCAGATCAGACTTTTGAATATTTGGAAACCATTCAGCTCCGACTGGAGGAAGCCTGATGCC